GCTCCTCTCAGTGGCTGCAAGGACAGCCCCCAGCCCACACAGGGCGAGTGCTGCTCCAGACGCGGCTAAGTCTGATTTTATCACCAGAAAGCAAAATAAAATAAATTAAAATTGGCATTTCTGATAGTTATTTTCTACACTGCACCCTCCCAGTCGGGGTTCAGTTGCTCCAGACGCAGCTAAGTCTGATTTTATCACAGAAAGCAAAATGAAATAAAATAAATCACTATTAAATTGAAATTGGTATTTCTGCTAGTTATTTTTCACACTGCACCCTCCCAGTCGGGGTTCAGAGGAGGCTGCTTTGTGCCCCTGCACCAAGGTGGTCTCAACCCCCTGTGCCCCCAGGATGGCACTGTGGGGGTAACGCTGCGGCCATAAAACCAGACTTACCCAGTTGTCCCAACACAGTTTCGTTGACCGATTTCCTTTTCTCTGTCTTCTCAGGACTATTTTTTCTACCATCTCTTCCTTTCCTTCTCAGGTCACTTTTCTTACCCTTTGTCTTCTTCCCAGTTTGTTCTGGTATTTTTTAGAAAGAAAGGAAAACTCCATGTGAGATCACGTAACAGGGATGCTACGGCCAGTAGGCCACCCCGGACGCAGCTCCTGCAAAGTCCTGAAAGCTCCCACGCGGCTCCCAGGCACGGCCCTTTCTTTGGCCAAATATACCCTAAATTCTCCATGGGTTAAGAAATCCAAGAGTGGTTTTTTTTTTTTTCCTCCTTTTTTTTCTCTCAGGAGAGCTGTAAAACTGAAGCAGCCTATTCAACCTAACAGGATAGAGGTGGAAAGATGATGAGCACTGTCCTATAGAAAGTCAGAAATATAACCGTCAGAAATAATTAGCTATATGGATGTTCAACTAAAAATCACCATTTCCTAAATTATTCCTCTGGGGTAAACAAAACAAGTAACTACCCAGCAAAAGCACAGCTTATATTGCCAAGCCAAATACTCCAAAGGGTTTTGCTTGCTCCGTTAGGTCACTCTCGCAAGGAACCCCGTGTTAACATTTCTATTAATTTTTGGAAGGCCAAGGCTATTGCCCTTTGACCAAAATGAGGAGCTGGGATGGGAGGTGAGATGTGAGCTTGAGCCTGAGGCTCTGCAGAGCTGCACAGTTATGGGAACAGCAACACTAAGGATGCAACGTGGTGCTGCGGAAACACATCAGCTTATTGCACTGGAGAGACTGGAAAGGCATCGGTAGAGGGAATCACATCCCCTCTGCCCTCATGGAAGCACCCTGGGCATTTGGGAAGGACTTTGCATTGCACCTGCACAAGAGGGATTAACAGAGCATTTACAGGATGCCCGGCCAGGAGCCCCTCCTGAGCAAAGGGCTCGCTGCAAGAAAGAGAAGCAAAAGCAGAACTGGTATTTGCTACCTTGCTGCTAAAGAGCAGTAGAAATGCAGACATATTTTTCACTTCACTTTCAGAATAAAAACATAACTTCGCTTGGACAGCACAAGGGTTCTAAAGAGAAATGAGAACATTACTCTCTGAAACGGAATCTGTCAGGAAAGTAGCAGGTTTCAATGCCAGACAGTGTCTACTCTCCAATTCATGCAAAAACATAATTCAAAAAAAAAGGGGGGAATCGAGGTGGGTTCATTTTACATGGCAATTCCATAGTTTTATTAAAGATCACTTGCTTAAATCATCACTTATCAATGGGGGAAAAATAAAACCTCTACTCCTGAGTTTTCAGGTGGGAGCCATTCCAAAAACACCTGGGCCAAAATCCTCCCTGGAGCAGCTCCAGCAGATTTTGGTCAGTAACCACCATTAAAAACCAGACTCGCATGCAAGGCGAGTTCCTCACCGCCAGGGCAAGCTGCACAAGCAGGGGCCGGGCAGATGGACGACCACTTGCTGCTTTTGCAGGGGTGTGAGACACAGTGAGCAGCAGTCCCGGGTCTGATGCTGCAGTGCCCACAGGAGGTCATCGCTGGCAGGGCTGTAATTTCCTCCCCGCGTTCGGCAGCTGCAGCGCAGGGAACGCGGCCCCCGCGCTCGCACGGCTGCGCAGAGCCCTTAGCCCATGGATGTGGCTCTTCCTCAGCCGTCAGCCTCTCACCTGGGCATCAGGCCTGTCACCTGCACCCATCAACCAGCCCTGGGACAGCTAGGGAGCACTGCTGCAACCCACACAGCTGGGGATTTGTGTCAGTGGGGACAGATTTCCAGCATCCTCAAACCTGATCTTGGAACATCCTGCCTTGGGTCCTGGGCCCATCCACCAAGAGGGACCCACTGAGGGCCCTCCACACACACAGGGCTCAGCCTCCAAAACCTCAGCGCAAGGCAACTTTTGTCCAGGATTACTCAGCCCAGACAGTTCCTGCAGAAACCCCGAACACGTGATGGCTCCAAACGTAATTGCAAAGCCACAATCACAACAACGGGTGGCAGAGGCAGCCAAAGCACCAGATGCTGATGCTGGAAAGTGCTCTGCAGCTGCAGTGTTCGGGTCCTGTGCTGCCACCGAGAGAAGAAGAGGAGGGACCAGGCACTAGGGGCACGGATGGTTAAAAAGGTAAAAATAATAATATGAATAAAAGCAAAGAAAGAAACCAACTTTATTTCAGCTCCTTGATAAAAAAGGTGCCAGAGGCTTTGCATGAAGCATGCATGATGCTCTCCACTAAGAGATCCCTGGAGCAGAGAGAATTATCAGAGCTAAAAGGAGGTGGCATCTAGCAGCACAAGCCAGCCCATGGGCAGCTCAGCCTTCCATTCCCAACAGAGCCAAAGGCAACAGCAGCAGATCCAAAGCAGCAGCTGCTCTGAGATGCCAGGGAGGCAGCTGCTGCATTAAAACCCCGACGCTGGTAGCCCTGTGCCCAGGATTTGCAGTCTCCTTCCAAAACGGAGGTGCCGGCACCAAGCGCTCCAGCAGCAGCAGCTCCATGGCATCCCCTGGAGAGGGGGATCAAGAGGGTTCTGCAAAAACAAGGATCTCTGACACTCCGGTCACCCAGGATATGACTTTATTATGTGTTTCTGCACAGAGCTGAGTGTTGGGAGAGTCAACACACGAACCGTGCTTGAATGACATGGCAAAGGAGGGGACAGCTCTCCCTGACATTGGGGACGCTGGCGGCTTGGGCAGGAGGCTTCAGAGGACAGCATGAACGGTGCCTGCGAGCACGAGCTCAGGGAAGAGGTACTGACCTGGGTACAGATCCTTCTCAATCAGCTTCATCTGGAGGTGGAAGATCTGCTCCTGCAGCTTGCAGATGGTGTGCTTCATCTTCTCCCGCCTCGTCACCATGTAGCAGAGGTTCCTCACCTGTGGAGGCACAGGCAAGAGTCTCCATTTAACCCAGGCTCCGGGCAGCTTCCCCGAGGGGACCTGGGAATTCCACAGGCCAGGTGCTCCAAATCCTCCTCCTGGGGATGTCGGCATGTACCGACACTACAAAAGAGGACTCCTGCTCTCAACTGCATTAAGATATATGAGGATGAAAAATAAACAAACAAACAGCAGTGAATGGTTCAAAGCCTGAATGACTATCCTGGCTCTGGAAACCAGGATCCTGCAGGAGGCAAGAGGGCTGGCTGCTTTCTGGAGCGCGTGGGCGATGCACACACGAGCCGTAAGGATGCATGGATACCTCCAGAGGAGAGTTTTGGGTTCGTTCCTGCCTTTTATCCTATCTTCTTCTGATCAGAAACAATAATGAGTTAATCTTTAGCTTTTACCACCAAAGGCTGGAATCCATGCGGATCTGCACTGCAGCACCGCTGCTTCCCAGGACCCCAATTCCACTCCAAAAGAAGAGCATACAAGGTGCCAAACAGGGCCAAGCATCTGGTATGATTAATCAAGATTAACTATTGATATTATTGTGGCAGAGCCTTTTAGTTGTGCTTTGGCAAGTATTAGTGACCAATATCCACCAAATGGGACCAGAGCCCAGAGAAACGGGGGTGAGTTGTTTTATGGCCTTACCCAGGAATAGTGATGCTGGTGACACACTGGCTTTTTTTAACCTCCTGGTAACTGCTTACAGACCTAACAAAGGAGTTAATGCCCCAAAAGGAGATTTGAAAGGCTCAGGAGAAAGAATGCTATAGAATTAGACCTATGTATAGACGACAGAAGAGAGGCTATCTTTCTTTTTTTTTTTTCCCCTGTAATCCTCTAGCTGTAAATAGGAACAAGTTAGTTATAAACTATATATCTTATTACGTTCTCCTCTTTTTGCTCAGGATTGAAGGAAACATCAGGTTAAAATTTCTTTACAAGGAAAACAAGGGCCTCCAGCAACCTGCATATCAAAGCACTGGGTGGTATCTCCTCTGCAGGAGTGTGCATTCCT